TTTTTTTTTTTTTTTTTTTTTTTTTTTTTTTTTTTTTTTTTTTTTTTTTTTTTTTTTTTTTAATAAATTTGGGGTGTATAGGCAGCTCTTCCCCGCAACAAATACAGTGGAGAGAGCTGCGGTGTACATACACCTCAGCAGAACCTCTTTTTGCTGCTGCTGCTGCTGCTGCTGCTGTTAAAGAAAACGGAGACATATGCGCTGCGATACCATACGAGAGAGACGGTAAAAAAACACAAACCCTAAACCCTTGTAAACCCTAAACCCTTGTAAACCCTAAACCCTAGTAAACCCTAAATCCTTATAAACCCTAAACCCTAGTAAACCCTAAACCCTAGTAAACCCTAAATCCTTATAAACCCTAAACCCTAGTAAACCCTAAACCCTTATAAACCCTAAATCCTAGTAAACCCTAAACCCTTATAAACCCTAATCAACCGTAATACACCCTAAACACTAATAAAACCTACACCCTAAACCCTTATAAAACCTAAACACTAGTAAAAACCTAAACCCTAATAAACCCTAAACCCTAATAAACCCTAAACCCTAATAAACCCTAAACCCTAATAAACCCTAATAAACCCTAAACCCTAATACACCCTAAACCCTAATGCATCCTAAACCCTTATACACCCTAAACCCTAATACGCCCTAAACCCTAGACCCTAACAACCTCTAAACCCTAATAAACACTAAACCCTAGTAAACCCTAAACCCTAGACCCTAGCAACCTCTAAACCCTAAACCCTAAACCCTAACTGCCTCTAAACCCTAAACCCTAATAACTTCTACACCATAAACCCTAAACCCTAACAACATCTACACCCTAAACCCTAAACCCTAAACCCTGACGGGCTCTAAACCCTAATAATATCTAAACCACTAAACCCTTTTCTCCTCTGAAACCCTAAACCCTAAACACTCGACTCAAAACCCTAAACCCTAAACCCTAAACCCTCAACTACGTACCTCTCCCCCCCAATATCTTTTTAAATATATAGAATATATAAATAATATAAACTATATATATATATATATATATATATAAATATATAAATATATATATATATATATGTATAT